AGGCAAAGTGCAGGTGCTGGGATAGTTTGCTCAGAACAGATGTCCCTTGGCTTTTTGTCAGTCTGCTTTTCATTCAGGTGTGAGATGACTGTGCAAGTACCTTCTTATAGTTAAAATTAAAGGACACATTTCTTGTTTTCCTATTTTGGCTTGGTGTAATTTTATCACTGAGTGATGGGAATATCTTTATTACTTACCAAGAAAACTACATTAGAAGAGCTTTTTTAGGTCGCAAAGTCAAGCACTTGTAAACTAGGAAATACCCAATTAAAGTTGTCCATACCTGCAACCTGTACACTGAATAAGGCCAGGGTCCTGTGAAAAATCAGTAGCATGTGATCATGCAATTAAAATACTATTATAATGCAGTTTCACAAGTAGCAGTAGATCTGTTTGAGTAGTATTGGAGTGATGTTATAGCTATGATGGTCCAAAAAATATGAGAGGTAAACATTTTTGTGGGTGTTAGCTCTTATTGGAACTGTATAGTTAGAGTAGACCAACCACACAGCGTGTCCAATAAACGTGTTGACATTTTTTTACTTTGTAACACTTGACCTAAATAGCTTTCCTTTGAAGTATTCTGGTATAATTTCCTAAGGTTTCTTTAAGAGATAAAAAATGAAAGAAAAATTTTGATATCTGCAACTAAACAACTAAAGCCCCATCATCCACCAATCCAGAACTCAAAAGCCAAATTCAGAACATGTCTACTTTCACATTTAGATAATTTTGTCACTGAAGCATCAGTCAACACACATTCAGACCTATACTTGTTCTAATACTTTCAGCAAATTTGGACTGAGCTCTGAATGCTCAACCAAACATGAACCAAAGCAAGTGTTTTTGGCATTAGTGGCTACAATTTTGCACAGCTCAAGTACATATCTTGTCAATTATTGACTTCTAGCCATTTTCATGGAAACAACTGTCAAAAGGAAAATGTACAAACCTTTTCTCCAAAAATCCAGCGTTTCTTGAGATTGCTGCAGAAAAATGCTGGAGACTGCATGGTGGCCATGAGGAAGTCACTAATCGCTAAACTGGTGATGAATACATTGGCTGGAGTCCGAAGACATCTACTCCTACAGAGAAGAGAGCCAAAGGAACATTTCTAAGCATTGGGTAATTATGTTATTGCTTTTTTGCTGTGAGCCTTGACAGCTTCACAAATATCAAGATGTGGTATATGACAAACTACATTAACCCAGCTTCTGATTCTACTGAATAGGGAGGCTAAGTGAGACACCAGTTCAATTGCAGATTTTTTACACCTATTTATGCCTCGGTAGATGATATGGATTGGTTTTGATAACTAGCTTGGTGATGGATTTAAATGTATTGTTCACTGATTATTCTGACCTGCTGCACCCTGTGTCTGTGATTAACAGGAAACTGAACTTGATGTACTTTATGGATTTTCTGGATCTGGGGCATGATGAGCTGGGAGTGCATTTTCCACAGCTGATGAGATTAGGAATGACTTCCAAATATGGGGATTTAGCATACAGACTTTATACCACATCAAGCATTTTATTTTACATCAGTTCCTCTCCATGACAGATAGTTCACTGGACCAGACACTGACTTCGAAGGGACCCATTGCTAGCCAGGCTGCGTACCCTGCCTGCATAAATTTTTCAGAACAACATGCTATAATATTAGCTTCTAGGTGTACACCATATAGTGTAATTGAGAATTCCACATTTCAGTACTTACTAATTCTTGATTTTTCTTGAAAATTTGGCACTTTGTTTAATATCTCTTCAGTTGCTTTCTTGAAATTTCAGTCTAAGATATAACAGAACTAGAATATATGCTGCATCATGTGAGAGATGTAGCAAGGAGGGCACAAGTTAAGAGTATGGGAGCTGAGGGCAAGTATTCTTTCTGGCCTTAAGTGTAACTTGGACTGGACCCAAGGGCACACTGTAACCACTCCCCTCCAAACCACCACATACAGTTTATGCAATATGAGTCTGGCTCCAAAGGTTCTGTTCCCATAGGCAATCTGGCAGATGTCCCTCGCTCCAACACAGGATCAACTATTTAACCATTGTCCTCTCATTGCAAGTTTTTGGAGCACAAAAAGTTTGTAAACAATCACTGAATAAACCTGTTATATTTGCTCATTGGTTTGTGAACAGATGCTGAATATTTTGCTGCCTTAGGGCATTGGCAAACTGCAAATTACTGTGAAGTCAACAGGAACAAGGATTTACTATGCCTCAGCTGGTCTATGGTAACTGCTTCCATGTCTGCTTTTACCTCATGGTAAAGATAACCTTGCAGTATCCTGTCCCTGAGAGGAAAGAGGGACTTTGTGTACTTTGCATTCAAAGATACTTTGTGTTCCCTTTCATGTACCACAGTGTAGGAGCATGACCAGAGTTGCTACACTATAGCAAGTGATTGGAAATTGCCACCGGCTTTGAGTTTGCTGGAACTTGTTTGAATGCGAAACCTAATTGGCTGCCTCCTATTGGATTATTGATATGCCAGTGCTTATGGTGCTCTCTTTAGCATCAGAGCATCTCCAGCTCTCCAATTCTATTCCAGTCCCTTCAGCATCCCCAGTATTTTCCACTGTGTCCACGGAGAGGCAGACTATACCATTCTTTCATTTGTCCCCTACCACTGCCACAGCTGTGCCCATCAGATTTCCTACTGGTCTACCTCTTCCTGAGTGGAGCAAACCACAGAACTGTTCTAGTCTTCCCCCGGCTGCTGTCTTCCTTCTCTAGCTTGTGCATTAGCATAGCCAGTTACCATGCTCCCTGGGCTGAAGGCCATGTCCTTAATACCTAAGATGCATTGATCTCTACTATAAATGTACTCATTGATGTGTAACAGAAAATGCTCTCTAAACAATAAAAACTGTTACCAGTAAAATCTCACTTTTTATAAATGCATGTGATGTGTACATTGGGTAAGACATACATGTACAACGTTTGGATGAGCAGCAAGGTTAAGTTGGAGTGTTGTTTGGAGAGTTTTGATATGTGACTATATATCTTTTATTTAGTATCTTAGCTTCTTTTATAAGTTAATTTGTTTTTTACTGTAAGCCACCTGGAGCCCTTTTTGGGGGGAAGGGCAGCTTATAAAAAAATGAATACCATGTGCCAGAGTTCAGTAATCTGAGTTAATATAGTTTTAAGTATTATTTTTATTATTGAAGATAATTAGATGCATTATTGCCTAATGATCAATCAGCAATGGAGCCCCAGATTGCTGGGCACTTCAACCTCAGAGTAGCAGACAGTAGCTACCTCAAAGAGCTTACAATGTAAACAGACAGAGACAAAGGGCACATTTACATGTGCTATTAATGTGATATAGGCTTACTGTGCAGTAAAATAGTATGCAGTAAGCCTTCCCTGGGAGTGCATTTACATGTGCACCCTATTGGGAGCAAATCTGCTTCTAGTGGGAGCAGCCCAGTACTGGGCTGCTCCTGCTCTGTCCCCCTGAAGCAGCCCAGGGGAGCTCCAGGCTTCCCTGGCATGCTAGTTCAGGGGCTGGCAGGTGGTATGGGAGTTGGTCCCAATGCACATGGGGCCAGAGAGCTCTGCCAGCTGCAGCTGTCTCTTGGCTCCATGCACATTGGGATTGGTCCTAAAGTGTACAGTGTCAGAAGAGCTCTGGCAGCTGCAGTAGCTGTCTCCCAGCCCTGTGTACACCAGGATGCCTCCCACTGTGGACAGGGCCAGGAGACAGCTACCACTGTGGTCGCCAGAGCTCTCCCGGCCCTGTGCACATCAGGACACACAGCTGCCAGCAAGCTCCTGGGGCAGCTGCTGGCAAGACCCTGGCTGGGCAGGGAATCTTCCCTCAGCTGGGGCCTCACTGGCAGCTGCCCCAGGAGTGGGATGGGTCCTTCCCAGCCCCTTGTTGAGTGAGGAATCCCTACCCATCAGGGGGCTTTCCAGCAGCTTTCCCACAAGCAGGACAGCTGCTGGTGAGCTCCTGGCTGGGTGGGGAAGCAGAGAACTCCCCAGTCCCAGTGCAGCTTGACTACTGGCTCCTGCGGGAGTTGGGAGCTGAGCAGTGCCAGGACCAGAGATGTTGAACTCACCCATCCCCTTTGGCCCACTGTTGGTGTGGCTGAACAGGAGAAAATATGTTTCTGGTTAGCGTCTATGTGAGCACTGCACAGTTAATCTAGTACCTGTATTTACAGGTACTAGCTAACTACACAGTAGACTAATTTACTGTGCCACGCACATGTAGACAGTGAGGCTTTACTGTGCAGTAGATTAGTCTACTGCACAGTAAAGCATCTAATGTAGATGCATCCAGAGTCAGATATTGGGGTGTGACACCCAAGCAGAGTGTTGTGATTTGGGAAGGTGGGAGGATAAGTGGCAAGAAAATGTAGCAGGGGGCTTCCTCGGGGCCAATCTGTCATTGACCCACCCACTTGTTCTGGACCAACTGCCCGCCTCCTTGTCTGCCACACCTTGTTGTCTTGTTAATTGGTTCTTATTAAGGCGGGAGGCTGCCATTCTTTCCCTGATGCCAGGGGGCTCTATCTGCAGCTCCATTCCTCCCCTACACTGAAGCCCATGCCTCACAGATGGCATCCAGATGTTACAGTGCTCCCAGCCTACAGCTGGACCAAGCTTAGGCTACACCATCAGGCCTCAGTCACACACATTCACCCCGCCCTCCTCTCACTAGGGCTTCTCACACTCCACCTTCTCTCACCGGGTCTCTTGCATGCATCACCAACTTATGTTGCCTTGCTCCCTCTTGGAGCAGACCCCTTAGGGCATAGGCTTAGTTAGTTCATTCCCTGGGTGGCAGACATACTGTCTGTTGGGTCTCTCCTGTGACCCTCACTGGGGTAGTGGCCAGCCAATTACCCGACCAAGTCTAAGCTTGCTCTAGCCCCTTCCAAGGGCAACTCTATATACATAAACATACTGGGCAGTCAGCCCTCTGGTTTTTCTTCCCCCCCACTGGGGCTCTCCATCTCCACCCACTTTCTGAGGCCACCCCTCACCAGGGCGTTCTTACCTCACACCACGACTGGTGCTCCAGGGTCTCTCAGGGACTCTCACTGCCCCCCCCCCCCGAGCAGCAGGTCATTGTGCTCCCACTAAAGGTCTTACCTTTGACCCACACTCAGCCTCTCAGCTGTGGAGGACTTATTGGGGCCAGGACTCACCCCTCTCTCTTGGGCTGAGCCCCCTTTACTCAGCCTCTGGCCCAAATTACAACCTCAGGCATCCAAACACCTACCTTGGCCTACTCTCTTCACATGGGGGCCACCTCCCTCACTGGGGCTCCTCAACTCTGCCCCCTTCACTTGGGGCTACTCATTTCTGGGCTACTCATCTCCCCCTCCCTCACTTGGGGCCATGGGGCTTCCCTCCCCTGTTGGCTCAGGTGGCCATAGCCATGCCTGGTCCCAACCACTTTTGTGCAGAGTCTTGTTCCCCCCAGGGCTCAGGTGGTCATAGCCATGCCTGGCGCCTACTACTCCCTCCTCAGGGTCTTGCACCCCACAAGGCTCAGGTGGCCACAGCCGTGCCTGGCCCCAATTACCTCCAGTGTGACCAGACCCACCCGAAGGTGAGGGCTAGGGTTAAGGTGCTCTTATCCACCTTTCACTGGGGTGGTAACTGGCCTGGCATTTTCTGGAGGCTCCTGTGCCACTGAGAGCCCCACCAGGCCACCCACTCCCAGCAGGGTGCAGTTTTAGGTCACGTCCAGGACCAGGAGCCTCCTAGACATCCCCTACAGCTCCTCCCTTACCTCCAGGCTGATACATGAAGCTTCACAGCCAGGCAATGTTGCTGCCTCCCCTGCGAGCAGTGAACTGCCCTGTTTATATAGGCAGCCCTGAATCTAAAATGGTTGCTGCAATCAGGCACTTGCTGGCTGTTTGGCCTACGTCTTAGAGTGTCAGGCACCAACACTGCCCTGCCACACACCTCCCCCCTTAGAATGAGATTTGGGGGGGCTTCACTTGGCTGCCTTGCTAGCTGGGCTCTGCCCCAGCTTACTGCAGCCCCTACCATGTGGTGAGCACCCCAAAGGTGCTCTGCGACAGTATGTAGCATGCAGAAAAAGAATGTCTGAAAATCCATTCCCCCCAATAATTCTAACCAGACTCAAAAGAGCCTGACCTTTGTTGCCAGGACAATGCTGCAGATGCCTATATGATAGCCTATAGATATCCACTCTCTGTCCGTTATGAGATGAATAGATTGAGAACATTGGTTCCCACATCAACTGGTAAAAAAAGGCCATAACAATCATATGTAAAGCAATGTGCATCTGGTCCACAGATACAGCAGCCAGTTTTCAATTGCCACTGCTCTGCATATAGTTTATAGGAGCTCATGGTGACAAAGAAAGGAAAACTCAAATTTTTTGAAACAGATTGGGTCTTTTGTCCACAGCCTAATCTTGCTCACTCCAGGAGGGATGACAATAATTTTGGAGCAGAGGTGCTATCAAGGTAGCTCAAAGTTTAAAAGTGCTAACATACCACCACATGC